TAACCTGGATTATCACCACTTTTGAGAGTGAAAAATGCCGGTAATGGCCAGCAGCCTGGTCTTTTGTTCGGAGTACGGTCTTTTGTTACAGGGCCCTGTTTCCTTTGTCCGAGTTCGGAGACCCAAGCCACACATATAAACCATACGGCTCCGATTTCGGAGTCCCCGGCTGGTAGTGGTTAAGCATACCCATCTTCTAGCCCATCATCTTTAGCTCTTTGGGGTGGTGATGATGGGATGAAACAAGTGGCTTTTAAAAACCAACCACCCCCCATCCTCCGCTTTGCCCCTCCCCCACTTGCTCTCCCCTCCTTGCACTTCTTGCCCACTAGACTTTATTCATGAGTCAGCTTGAAATTGAAAGTGAGGTAAACTTGTCATTTGGGGAACTTGAGAGTAGATATGAAAGCAATAGGACGACATTTCTCGACAAATTTGTACCAGTCCTTGTCTGCTCTGATGAAACAGTTAACATCTGTGATTGAACGAAGCATTTTTGAGCCAGATTTTCAAACACATTGAAAGGGGGCTTGGAAAACAAACCAGTCATAAAACAGTCTGGCACCATCCCATAACAGTCCGCAATTCATAAAAACGACTCAAGGAACAAGACTGAAAATAGCTTCCTCCTAAATAAGGTCTACTCATACCAAACAAGGAGCTCCTTCTCACAAGACCACAACAGCCGTTACATATTCCAGATTCAAAACTGAAAAACCCCCAATTCTCCTTCCGATTTGGCACTTTCCAAATGAGATGGGCAAACCTTTCCAATCACGAACGGTTATTGTGAAATGTCAAAGTACATAGCGCTGTCCTTGCTGATCTTTGAATCAAAATATAATTATCTTCAAACTCAGAGGTTTATTTCACTGAAGAAATATTCTTCCATTACTTCTGAGATCTTAGCCCTGTGTCTGATATCATTTTCCCTGCCAGCCATATTTGCCGATACCAAAACTGTTTCCACATGGAAAATCTGACTTAATAAACCTAGACCTGTACCCGATGTCCAATATCTTTTCACCCTGCATGCTAAATGTTAACCTTTATTGGGAAGGGTCTGTCAGTTAAAAGATGCATTACCGTTGGTCACGTCACTGATAGCCCGGCTCTTCCGATCTCCTCGTAAAGGCCCATCCGAAGACGTGGTTGCCACACAATCTGTGAAGACCTCGTCGGCATTGTCCTCGCTGAAGGACTGGGTCAACGGGGAGCCAATAGGGTCCGGACTGGCCACAGAGTGGTTGGCCGATGAGTGGAGCGTGCGAAGTGAGGACTCCGAGTGTCCTCGGGAGGTGGTCATGTGGGACTGGATGTCTTCCACCAAACGTTTGAACCGTCTGGAAGGACCTGACAAAAATTTCCCCTCAAAATTTAAAATTTGCTGGGTTGGAGTTAAAAATTGGTAAAAAAAATATTAAAACTCAATTGAAAGCGATTTCTTGGACAGTGCATGGACTCAAAGTTCAACACAGGTTGTGTGCATGTCCTCACCGACAGCTATCAAGGACAAAATGAGAGCACACAAGAGAAAAAAGGCTACCAGTAAAAATGTTATGTGTTGACTCGACATGACTGGTGGCCAGCTACTTTTTGCACAGCATGTATCCGATCACAGAGCCCTGTGAATTGGAAACTGATACTAATGTGCAGCGGGTCAAACGATACGAGGCAGGATGCCGAGTTAGCAACAGGGTGAGAGTGACCAAAGTTTCTGGCCACTAATTCTGTAAGCTGGCATTGCCTAGTACGTAATAGGGTAACAAAAACTAGTATGGCCCACTGACCCAAGAGGTCAGGGGGAAACTAACCACTAATTGTGTAAGCAGGAAGAGGCAAAAAGGCGCCAAAAGCCAATACGGCCCACTGACCTGATATCAGGGTGAAGTGCACCACAAGGACGGGGTTTTCCTTCCCCGTGTCGCCATCCGAGTTGAGTATCTCCACGTGAAACTTCATCGGCTTAGCAAAGACGGCGCTGCTCCCGCCCCGCTTCAGCTCTGCCTTGAAGGCATGTGGCGAAAGCACACTATGACTCAGATCGTGAATCTGCACAGTAGAGAGTTTTTCAGAAAGTTTGAGTGAAGACCGTCGACCACTGGCAACTTTCCCTGGTAACCCATGCATTTAATAAATAAACTACATACCAGGCCAAACTGCCAATTTGTATTAAACAAATGGTCATCATTTGAACTTCCCTGAGTATAATGATGGAAAAGACAGAAGGAAACATCAATCGCTTCCAGGCTCCACCAGGAGTTAGTGATAAATGACTGTGTTAAGTTACCACCGTTAATATCTAGCCAAGCAGTTGCTACTTAAGTGACCAATGCCATCAATTCTCTTTTTACTGGACTACACTGGAAAGTCTACTCTTTCGGAAACTAAATCAGCTGCTTTTGCAGATTGCCAACCCCATTTCCTGCTTCCTCATTTCTAACGCTACATCTCTTTGACTCACTGACAGCAGAGCTTGTACGAGGTCTGCCTTGACAGAGCTGAAGGTCCGATCTCTGATAGCCATGGACAGCTCGTCCTCGCTGCGTTCGCTGGTGACCAGACTGCTGAACCACGACTTCTTAGACATTCTATTTGCCATGAGAAAATTGGCCGAGAGTCATTTTCTTCTGAAAACTAAAACCATGGTACAGAAACTTTGTTTTATGAAAATCTTGTCTCCCACCCATCTCAGGCATACAATGACTGATTATAACGAAACTTGGTCTATATATAGACAAATTCACGTTTTATAAATATCTATTAAGGTTTAGCTCAATATGGGCGATTCACAATAGTGCACCTCCATGAGTTTGCAACGCGCAGGCCCAACACGCAGGCCAATCACAAAGTGCGAAATCTGTCAACCCTTTCCAAACGTCCACTGGGTCAACAGATTTCGTGCACTTTGATTGGCCAACGCGTTGCAAATTCTTGGAGGCGCACTCTTGTGAATCGCCCGTATTGAACAATGCACTGAGTAATTATACTCACTGGTCTGTGACACCTTAATTCATGCATCAACACAGTTCATGGTCCAAAAAAGCACTTTCGCATTTTGCAGAAGCAATTATCTGATATCAAAAATGCAAACTCACGTTTTCACTTACATCTGCACTGGGTGTACCCTGAACCCTCATACCGAGCTTGTAACTTACTCTGGCGAGCTGTCTGGCGTCAGTGTGCTCTCCTCCGAGTCCGTGGGCTGCATCATCTTCCGCCGGTGGAACCGCGGCGACCCCAGGATGCTGTTCTTGAGGCTGTTGAGACGCGCCCGCCACAATGACTGCTGCTGGGGTGGCTGTGGCTGCTGCAGCTGCTGTTGCTGCTGCTGCAGGTGTGGGGGATGGGGGCCGCTAGTGGGGCTACCGGGGGGCGTGGCATGGGCGGGGCTGTTGGGGATGGGCATCATGGCGCTGCTGGNAGGTGGCGGGGGCTGTGCTGGGGGGAGGGCAGGGGGCTGTTGGTCACACTCCTGCTCCTGTTGAAAGAGAAACTCACATGGCATCCTAAAAGCACTCAAACAGGATCAGCACCAACTCACTGTGCCTCACAAACCTGTGGATGCCTGACCTGATTTACTTCAGAGAGCGTCCTAGAGAGGATCTTGTCATCTTTCAGTTATTGCATCATCTTTAAGCGACCGTAACTGAAAACTGAATCCCTCCCAAAGTGACCAATTAAACCTTTCCTCTACTTCACATCATCGCTTCTAACACACATCTGAACTCTTACCCTCTTTTCCCTTAATTAGCCAGCGCCAATCAAGTCAGGTTCCTTCATTACTCAGCAGCAAGTGATGTCTCAGGAAGTTCCCTATCTTCCACTCCAAGATTCTCATTTCTACCCTGATTCTTGGCCATCCTTCGACCCCTTCCTTGCTCTGTCAGTACTCGTTTATCGACATCATGCTTCTTCATTATTTAGCAACAGTGAGGTCTAAGGGAGGTTCCATATCTTCCTTTCCAAGGTACAGATCCCAACACTTTCCATGCTCTAGTAGTCAATATTGTATTGCCTAAAGTTATGAGATTTCATTAGCTGTAGCACCCTAGATATATAGCTGCAGAATCCGAGGTGTATAGTTGTAGCACCCTAGGTGTAAAGCTTTGGCACCCAGGGTGAATAGCTGTAGCACCCTAGGTATATAGCTGTAGCACTCTAGGTGTA